TGATTTCTAACCTCAGGCGGGGAGATGCTCGCTTCACGTCGTCGGGCCTTGAAGATTTCATACAGAAACTCGTTTGTTTACACTAACCGGCGAGATGCTCGGCCAACAAATGGTAAAAATAAATAAATAAATGAAATAAAACAAAGTGGAGCGGTCCAGCTTTTGATAAACAGAGCGATTTGTGTTGCTTCAAAACAGGCGAGAGCTGAAACTCATCTCGCCTTGTGTTAACAGTTTTGAGTGAAAGCAGCGTGGTTCCCTTGGCGATGCTGCACTGTTTGCGTTGCTCGCTTTGCCTTTTCTCTACTTCTTTGTGTTTCTGCCGTGACCCACGGAAAGACAAACGCAGCGGAGACTTGGGGCTCGTCAGCTGTAGGAAGGATATGTGAAAATATGTTTGTTAAACTGAGGATAACATGACCACAAAGTGCCCTTGTTTTCTCTCGTCTTTTCTTCATTCTTATAACCTTTTTCCCATATTCGAAAACATTCCCTCCCTTTCTCTCTTCTGTTCTCTTTCCATCTGTTACTAATGTAACAGCTTTCTTACGCCTTTGTTTTTTCTTTTTCATAAATCCCTATTTTTGCACGTTTCACTACATTTAGTAGATTTTCTCCTTTACGTGCTTTTTGTCTTTTTTTTCCTGGAACTTCTTAATGTTTTCTTTCACATACAGAATAGTTGGTTTGTTTTATTAATTGTAGCTTGTAGTGTGTGATAACATTATCAGTAATATTGTTAGCAGAAAATTAAATTTAAGAAATTGAGTTAAGAAAGTTGGAACAGGGGACGCGCAGCCGCCTGCACACGAGTGTGGGGATATCGACTTACCCTTCACAAACATTTCCTCATACACCAAGCCCTCCCTCCTCTCACATTCACCCCTCTCTTTGGTTTTTTTATTATATTTATGGCCACAATCTTCATCAAGTAATCGCATTAGACAGTCAAACGTGTTAAAACACACATTTGAATAAAATGTCAGGTTATGACAGATTTGAATTTAACACATTTTCCTGTTTTTTTTCTTTAGTCAGAAAAATGACTTTTGTCTTCTTAACTCCTCAGCAGCTCCTTTTATTTATTTGTATATTTTTAATTGTTATTTTTTCTGAGATGATAAACATCTTTGTGTTTAGTGCAATAGCTCTTGATTTTTATGTTAACTCACCGCCTACTTACATTAGACTTGTTACAAAATATCAATTAGCCAGTGAAACAAATAAAAGATAAAATGTGATAATAAATGATAATTAATATCATTTATGCAGTGCAGAGATAGCTAAATACAAAAATAGATGATTTGAAAATAAATGTAAACATATAAAAATATATGTAATCAAATGATACAATTAAAATAATTGATTTTTAATTTTTTTTTTAAATTAAAGGTCTTGAAAGATAAAACAGTTTCACTTCATTTGGCTGAGTTAGCTCTTTTTCCAAAATGACATTAGGATTTCTTCGCTACTCCAGCACTAATATGTGCTATGTAATATGTTATTCTTACAGCCACCAGTCGGATATTGCCAAAGAGCTCTCTGTGTATCACTCGACACAGCGATCGTTGAGGCAGCCAACAACTATTCCTTGAGAGAATATCCATAATGTAATAGAGTTTCAACATGTCCGTGATTGCATGGATCCCATTGTAAACTGATTATTTTCAGCTGGCTCTTTTTCCAGGACGGTCAGCAGATCTGAGCTTCAGCTTCAGCCAACTTTTAATTTGAGAGTAACATCGGGTCAGCGTTCTGCTCGCTAAAACCATACCTTGATATCAGCACGCGCAACGCATGTGTTAGTCTGCTTTGACAAAAGGTGTGCAGTTTGTGAAGTAGACTGTTTAGTAATATTGTCTCTGTCCGTTTCCAGTGAACGGGACCTACTGCTCAGAGAAGGATGCGAACGCTGAGCTGGGCAATGCCGAGGGCCCCCTGATGCGATGTGGGCAGAGCCTGCTGCTTCCAGCGGGGGGTCATTCGGAGGGGCTTTACTCCCAGAGCCTCCAGTGCAGCAGACCTACACCTGACCTCCTTCTGCAGGATGGGCCTCATCAAGACGCCAGGTGAAGTGTCACTGTTATTCCCGTTTGATATCATATTTTTCCACTTCTGAATGTTTCCTGTTTGGTGTCGTGTTACTAACAATACGCAGGTACAAT